CTGTCTCCACCACAAACAATGCTGTGCAGGGCACAGTACTCTCAGCCTCAGTTTCCACCATCTGTGATAATTACATCTGTCATAATCATACTTGCAAATGAGAATTACATTGATCAGAGATCCACGTTTTGTACAAGAAAACTATTTCCTAAGAGTGTCCTATCCAACATAGCTTTAAAATATGTTGCTAGATAACACTTCACAAATGATTTAAATAAAGGATTCCATGGGAAGGAACCAAAATGCCCTTTTATGAGTCCTGATGTCTTCAATATTTAAGTTCCTGTGAACTGCTATAGCCTTGGGTATGTCACAAGTGATAATATTAAGGTATATCCTAACGGTTTCATTGTAGTTACTGTCACATCCTGAAAGAACTAATAATAGAAAATAAGGTCCTCTAAAGAGAATTAAGTTTGCCTATGGAAATAAGCAAGTATTACACGAGAGAAGCTAAGCATTCCAAATAACCTACGTAATCTATATACTGGCCAGAAATCATTCTTATAGGTTCTGATACAGTGGAAAAGATAAGATTGGTAAAGCTGAGTCCCATTTTCATTTCTACCAATGAACAACTGGGAGCACTGAGACAAGTCCATTAACAACTTGGGCCAAAATTAACTTATCTATAAAAGATGTTGGGAGCAGGTACTGTTTACAGTCCTTCTACTCTTTAGAAGTACACTGGTGCCAATGTTTTGGAAAACAAAACCTTTGTGTAACAGTTCAGTGCAACCCTGTCGACTTTGAGACAAGGCTTGTTAAGAACAAAGCTAACACAGATGTTTTGTGGGGTTTTCTTTGGGGGGGGGGGCACCACAAAACAGAAAGTGCTGAAGAACCTTGCAACATCGCCATGTCTAGCTGCAACTGTAAGATAGGTGTGTACCCGGTATAAGAGCATCTCCTGTAACAAGAGCTGCTCGAACTACGGTTATGACTATCGGTGGACGGAAGGAGGAAAGTGAAATGAGGGGAGCAGATCCCTCTGGCTTCCTCCAGGGCTGGGTGTCTAGTGACGAGCAGAAAATAATTCTAAGTGGAATTATGAGAATAATCAGTGACAAATAAAAATGAAAGTTCCAAATATGAAAGTACTGGATCATATAGGATAAAAACTACTTGATCTATAATTGTACAATAGAAAGACACAAATGTAATCAATAAGAAAATAATACTACATTTACCAGCCGACATGCTGGGTGGTAAATAAAGCTGACTTTGAACACTGTTTAAAGGCACATAAATTCAGAGCACACAGCGGGGCACCAGGCAGGACCCCCAGTGGGTCTGTGTGTGTGGAAAAGAAGCCTGAAAACAATTTCACCCAAACATGCATTTTTTAAAAAGTTATGTGATGAGATTGCATGAGTTTTGACATCTTTCTAAAAAAAAATGCCTTGCCTTTTTCACAAATTCTACAGTTTTATAATTTTTAACTGTTCCCTTTAAAAACATTTTAAATCTATAATTTCAGAATTTATAGAAATAGTCCTTAAAATTATATTATTCTCACTAATATTTCAAAATAAACGTTTTATTATGTTTGCACTGGACTTAGGAAAACAATTGATGTCTGTTGCTTTCTTTATACCATTTATCTAATTGTTCATAAATATACCTGCCCAAACTACTGTATATATTTTCCATAAAACATTCATACTATAAAATGTAAGGACCAAGAGACTATATTGAGTATAAACAGAATGCCAAATAATGTTTTCTTAATTTTAGGCATGATGCAAATATATTCAAAATTGAAATTGATCTTTCAATACTTATACCACAAAACTACTTGTAGAGTTCTGACAAGATGGCCAGTATTATTAGTAAACTCATACCTGTGTTAATAAAAAAAGATTTTTTAATTACTTCATATATAGGTCTATATAGATATTTAAAACTTTCACTATATAAATTTTGATGATTTGCTGAGCAAAAATGATTTAATTATAAGCAAACACTTCTGATAACTCACAAATGCCAGTAAAACTAATAAAAATATATTTCTGATTAACAGTTTTAAGACTTTTGAGGTGCCAGAATAAAAGGTTTAATATTGATAAAATCCTTTTAGGGACAAAAAAGAAATCAACTACAGGGTCTAGTAGAAGAAGTAAGGCCTGCTCGAGTGTGGTTGGTAGGGTAATAATATGGGTGTAATGATTTATAGTTTCGATTTGAACATTTTACCTAAAATGTCATAGGGTGTGTTGTGTGTGACATTATGTTACAGAATTGCATGCTTATGATTTTGTTATTAAAAAAGGGGCATTATTTGTGCAGGACCTTGTATTTTCCTTTAAAATTTTAAGCAAAAGTATAATAAATTTTAATGATACTACAAATGGGAGAAAATTCTATCTGTATCATTTCCTGAGAGTTTTTTCTTTTGTCAGGAGCTCATAATAAAGTCTTAACTGCACATGTGAAAATCCTGTGGGTTGCATAATACTTGTTCTTCTTGTCATGTAAAATTGAAAAATAAACATTTGATGTTAAAGCAAAATCAGATGCTGGAAAAATGCACTTTCTTACCACATGTCGACACTGAAAAGATGAGGAAAATATGCTAAAGTCAGTTATTCGGTGCATGTGTGTGATCAGCAACCTGTTCTACTGGTAGAAGGCTGCTGGTACTAACACTATATATGAATTTTGATGCGGTTTTAACGTTTCTTAGCTTACCAAGTAATCACACAAAAAGAAACAGAGACCTAGACCAAAGTATGCAGTCAAAATTGTTGCAAAACGTTTAAAATAACAGAGACGTATGTTAGTGGCATAAGTAGTACTGCGTGTTCCTGTTAGGGAAGAGCCCACCAGAACACTGCTTTCTTAAGTAAATAAGACTTCCCTTTTGATCACAACAGAGTCCCATTACAAAGCCCCTTCAATCCATTAGCCCCATTCATCAAGTTCAGTATGTTACCTAAATAGTAATCTTCGGGCTACAAGTCAAAGGGGCTTTTTTCACTGAAAATGTATTTTGTCTTGTGTTCCTGTTTTTATTCCCCCCAGTCAGGCCGACACACACACGATGTGTAGGTCTATATATATTTATTGGTCTGTCCAGAAAGTATCCAGCAACGTAATATGCAAACTGGACAGACCTCGTAAGCTGTGTATATCTGTGAGTGTGTGCGCCTGTATATCTTTAAGATTATTCACCACCACAGACTTCAGAAACACCTTTTCTCTAAATCAGTATCCGTTGATGGGACTCAACTATATGGCTTTCGTAGCTGAAAGGCATTTTATTTGTAATGACCCCACTTTGAGTGTTCAGGTGCACACTCACAAATATACATTGTGTCTTCTCCACATTCTGTCTTCAGCATCCAGAAAAATACCTGCCACATGCTAAATGCCCAATACATAGCAATAAAAGATAATCATTAATTCCTGAAACTCTAAGGTGAATGTTCCATTTATATGTCATAATGCCTCTGTAACTGGCACGTAACAAATAGAATCAGTAAAGAAACATTTATTTTAAGCAGAACAAGGTAAACTTACATTTTCAACACACCAAAATTTTCACACCACTATTTCTTAAATCCAAATAATTAAATATAAAACATGTTAACACATCTTCTGGCTAAAATTTTAATCATGAAAAAGTTGGAAAAATTAGCATTACCTCCACAGCAACTATACCCAGGCAATAGATACTTTAAATATGTGTGAACATCAGATATAATTAAACCAAAGCATAACTTAAGAACTAAATTACAGTGGTTGTCAAAATCATCGGCCTAAATTTAGCAACTTGGCACATTTAATCATAAATTGCAAATTAATTTATATTTTACTTTCTTGACTTTAACAATTACTAGAAATCTAATACACATGCACACACACATACAATATGGGGAATTTTGCAAACAAAAAAAAAGAGGAAAAGGTGAGCAAGCATTGGGAAAGTTGCTTCCTCGAGGTTTACGAAGAGCTTTATGACACCCGACCCAGTGAGAGTCCGTCAGATTGTTTTCTCTCTCTTTTTTCATTTGTGTTCAAGTAAAGCTGTCTCCATTTCCCCCCACCACCACCACTCCCACCCACCCCAGTGATCCCCACCTCCCACCTTCGATCCTACCCCCCTTTGGCTTTGTCCATGTGTCCTTTACACATGTTCCTTGATGGCCCTTCTCTCTTTTCCTTCCATTATCCCCTTGAGTAGGGGGTCCATCTGGCCAGGTCTTTTGTGCCTTAATCAATTATCCATGATTTAATGGTCTTTTTTATATTTGACTTCTACCACACTCAACTGAAAATCCTTTTAGGAAGTTGGTGGAATAAACAGAAAGCAAATTTAAATATTCTGGCTTCAATTCTTCACTGACTTTGCCACAAAAGTAGTGACTCTCTACAAGTCCCTAGTATTCTACCCAATGTCTGATGCACAGCAGACACTCAAACTCAATGGACACAACTAGAGCTGGGAAAAGAGTACGCCTGCCGGGGCTGTTCCAGGGTCACCAACCCTCTTGTAAGCTTCACTCAGCCTCTGCAAGGGCAAAAAGGAGCATCATAGTATCAATTTCATAAAACTACCAGGAGCACTAAAAGTGTCTAGCATCTGGCGAGCAATTAACTGTTACATGTTTTATTTTGAGCCTCAGTTTCCTCATAGGTTAGAGGTCAATCAAATCTAACCCAAAGGGTGATAAGGATTAAGTACACATGTTAAGTCAGTTGGCAGAAATGCCAGACATAGGGTGGGTCCTCAATAAGCTATAATTTTTTTCTTTGCCACCTTGCCTCTAAACTCCTATTTTAAGATCCAGAAGAAATTTAAAATCAAATGTATTAGAAGATGAATGGTTGGATGAAAGAATAAAAATCACGAACAGCATTCTAATAAACTATCACTTTTTCTGGCACCAATACAACTTTCCTACGAAAGACTACAATTGGCATTTGTTAATATGTAAAATACGTTCTAGAAGAAATTCAAGTAAGTCTTTTAAATTAGACTTCATTCACATTTTTACCTTTTCTTCTAGTTGGTCCTTCAAACTCTGATATTTCAGCTTCAGCTTTTTGTTCTCACTCTCATTCTGGGTTAGTTCCTCTGTCAGCCTGTCACACTGTGCTTTCAGCTTCTCCAGCTGGCAAAGATGGACTTTAGCCGTATTCTTATCTTCTAAGCTTTCTGCCTGAGAAAAAGAGAAGGAGAAAAGCCAAACTGTACGCCAAACAAATTACACATTATCTCATCAGGCAAATACTTCAAGATGTTGCTATCTTTAAGAGTCTGTACACACACAGAACAAAAGAGATGCTCTTTGCATTTACTCAATCAATCCTTAGCACTCCCTGAGCATTTACTAAGTAAAAGGCACCACGCTAGGTGCTGTCAATAACAGAGAGGAACAGTAAAAGAGACAAATGGCAAAATCAATTTCCACGATGCTGAATGAGAAGTGGAGGGAGGGTACTGTGGCAACCCAAAGAGGGAATACCAACTCTGCTGGGAGAGGAAATGGTTTGATTATAGAAGTGTCTGCAAAGGGAGGCACTGAGATGTTACTGACCGATCGCTTTCCTCATTTATAAAAGAAGCTTGACCTCCTACCTCCTCATTTTTGTGAAAGAACTGAGTGCTTAGGAACACTCAAAAAACCATAACCTAAGTCAGCCTAAACATGTTTGCTACTCTAGTGATACCGACAAAGAGCCATGCAACACAGAGGACCGGGAGACTCCCCCCACTTCAGCGAACCCACAGAAGAGATGAAAAATGAATCAGGCCTTGGACAACTAGGCAGCGCTGGGGGAAAGGTCAGGCCCTGACAGCACCACTTCCCAAGCCACGACCTATCAGATCACTACACACCGTCCTCATGAAAAAAACCCTGCCTTCCTTTGAGATTCACACGATCTCTCATCAGCTCTCCCTTTCTTGCTGGCAACAGCTAACGAACATGTGATCAATTAATGCCTGTACAACAGTATCATAAATTACCCAAATATCTACCCAGCAAAGTAACATCAAAGTTCCATGACCTGTTCTATTCTGACCACTTCCACTCACATTCCACAACAGCAAACCAATTGCATTACCACACCTTGGGCCTTAACTCTGAAAATCTGAACTATAACATAAGAATTCCTGACCAAATAAGCAACCTACGTTCACAGATTGTCCCTGCACTCTCTGATTCCTTGACCAATGATACTTCTCCAGTGTCAGCCATGTCACGATGCCCCCACACTGGTCTCACGTAGTTTCCACCAGCCCTCACAGCAGTGCACCTTCACCGTCCCTGAGTTACTCCCTGCACTGCAGCTCCGCTCTACTTCAGAGGGAGGGAGGACCCCCGTCAAGATCCACATCCGTAACTCCCGACTGACTATCTCTATCGTAAGCTTACTCAACCTTACTGGTTTCTTTCAAAACCTTCAGAGGAAGATATGCCCTGTCTCCTGTCGAATGCTGTCTACCTTGTTTTTGATCCAAACTCCTCACATCTCCTCATGGACCTTATCCACCAACCTCTTGTGGTAATGAAACTTCGGCCTGGCTCCTAGACCGCATGCAGCCCGGGATGGCTGTAACTGTGGCCCAACACAAAATCACAAACTTGATTAAAGCATTATGAGACTTTTTTTGTGATGACGTGTTACAGTGTATTTAATGTGTGGCCCAAGACAACTCTTCTTCTTCCAGGGTGGCTCAGAGATACCAGAAGGTTGGACACCGCATCTGCCACACTTGACACTCTTGACTATACCTCTCATAAAATGTCCTGAGTTTTCCAAGATACCATTTTCCCCTCATTCTCCTCCTCTCATACGGTCCTGTATTTTTATTGGCCACGCCTCTTTCTCAATTCTGCCCTTACACATCGCTGTTCATGGGTTTTCATCCGATTCTTTCTCCCTGTACTTCATCCAAATCCCAGGATTTCAACTGTCACCAATGGATTACTGGCTGTAAATACTTAAGTTTAACCCCAACTTCCTCCTCGACACCTAACCCATCATGAACCAAACTGTTCTTCCTAGACATTCATGGTTAGACTTAAGTTCCCTTCATCCTAACTCAACATGCTAAAAAACTGAATTTGACATTGTTCTCTCCAAATCTGCTGTTCTATACACATTGTCTACCTCGGCAAACAGCCTCACTATTGACCTAGTCACCCAAGTCTATCCCTAGTCATCCTTAATAATAAACCTTTTTTAAGTACAGTGATGGGGTTAAGAAATAGGCACTTGACTACCTGGGTTCAAATCCTGTCTCAGCTATCTACTAGCTGTAAGGCCTTGGGCAAGTCACTGAACTTCCCTTGCCTCGATTCCCTCAACAGAGAGAAAATAATACCAAAAAATCTGCAGGGGTAATGTTAGTATTAGATGATTCATACGTGTAAAGTTCTTATAGGAATGACTGGCACAAACTCAGTGCTAAATATGTCTTCTACTATTACTATTACTGCCCCAGCCAATCAATTAAGATAGAATCTGTATTTTATTTTCTTTAACATCAGCTCTTCTTCATATCTCGAATCCTGCTTTTGTTCATGCCCTCATCCACTCTGAAGAACTATTATGCCATATTTAATCAATACTAAGACATATATTTTTTCACTTTTACCATTTCTATCTTGGGATATTGTCTTACAGTTAATAGCACATCACATTTTCATAGGCAGTATTTTTTTTCTTAGTAGCATCTTACAATTAATGGTACTTTTGGCAAATATAGTAAAGGCCTCTTATCTCTTCTTCCAGCCTTCATTCTGCTCTGCCCACCCCAACTGATAACCCCAAGTCCACGACTGCCAGTAGGCTATGTAAAACTAAGAAAGAACTCATACAATAGCTGAGAACATTCTAAAAATATCAGCTATTTTGCTATAATTTCATCTTTCATCATAGGCATTTTATGATAGTTGCATTTCAAGGAATTCTGAAAAAAATTATAATGGACTTCTGAAGATGCATCCATTTATTCACCTATCAACAGGTATTAACAAGGTTCGAGGAACTCTTTTAAGTACTTGAAATAGAGCTGTAAACAAAACAGACTCCAATCCCAGTCCTCGTGGGGTGTTCATTCTCATAAAGACTGATTAAAAAATAAATAATATGGCTTCTATATGGTGATAAGTGTTATGGAGGGAAAAAATGAAGCAGAAAGAAGGGATAGTTTTATCACACTTCTGACAGTCATGTTATTAAATTATTCCCCTGCATGGTTATAATGCTAATACCATTTGACCTTGGAAACAGTTCCCCAAATGCGAGATCTCAACTATGCGTCTACAAAGGCAACTTTCACTTGGAAAAGAAAGAATAAATCTCAAAAGCTTTGGGTTTATACAGCCCATAAGCTGATCCACTTTAGTTACCAAACTAACAAGGACGGTGGTTATAGACTCTATAGCCTTGATAAGTCTTTGCATTTTATATTTTAGGAGATCATAAATGTTGAATGAGGGCACATTTCAGGCCCACGACTTACTGCCACCTCTGCCTTTCCTAAGCTCCCAAAATAGCTAACAGTTCTTTTTAAAAGGCTTCAGTGCTCTGGAATAGGTGCTCCCAGGTGGCTGCTATAACTCATTTCCACCTGGCTGAACAGGCATGAATAAGCCCCTTTATTGTTCGTTTTAGCTTCCCTTCAGTGCTTGGGAATACAGAATGATCTCTAAAAGTTTACGGTTTATTAACTTAGTGAGTCACCAGAATTCCTTCACCATCATCAGTATACCTTCAGTGTCTTAATGTGATTCTCAGCTTCACTCTTTTCTTTCTTGAAGTGCTTCATCAGTTCCTGGATATTTTGCTCATGTTTAGTTTTCACACTCTGCAATGACGATGTGAGATCTTCCAGTTCTCTTTGGTGAACATCTCGTTCTAGCTTTAACTGTGCGATGATTGTAGCTGTTTCTTCATCTTTAGATTCAGCCTGTGTCTTGAGGTCAGAAAGGTTCTTAAGCACCTCTTTCCTGGCTCTTTGTTCCTCAGCCAATTTATTGGCAAGATCTGCCCGGATGGCACTCAAGTCCTTAATGGCCTCTTGCATCTCAAGAAGTTGAGCTTTGTCCTTCGCCTGACTCTTCTTTAGCTCTGCAATTTCTTCCTCCAGGTGAGCTTTCTCAACTTTCATCTGGCTTTGATTCTTACTCTGCTTTTGCAGTTCAGTTTCTAGACTATGGATGGTGTCCAAGTTACCCTTGACTTCTAGTTCAAGGTCAGCTTGATGAGCCTTAACATCACTTAGTTTCTGTTCCTTACAGTGAAGCTCCTCCTCTTGAAGGGCACGCTTGCTTATGACCTCGTTCAATTCCTTTCGAAGATTCTCTATTTGTTGCAACGCTGCATAAAGCTGGCTTTTCAATTCATCCTTTTCTTTCAGGATCTATCAAATTAAAAATATAAAACAAACAAAAATTACTAAAAAATTCACCAAAGACACTGCCAAAAAACAAAATAAAATTTAATCCACAAAGAAAAACTCATCAAATAATATTTGTATACTTTCAATTTTTCTAAAGAAAAACATTTTAGTCTAGAAAAACAAAAATATATAATACCCTGAAGTAGCACCACACTGAAATATGTTTTAGATTTTCATCACCAAATCATATCATTCTTTGATCATACATAATTATTTAAATGTAAGACAAAATTGATCAAAAGAATGGGGAAAGAGAAAGACTCTTATTATAATTTACCGGAGGTTGATATAATATGCATAGTCTACTTAAAATAGTAATGATTTACATTTCAATGCCACATTTTTAAAAACAAGAAACCTCAAAACAGATATGGTAGATAACATAGGAAAACACACAGATACTAAGAAAAGTAATGTCACACAACAGTATGTAACTGGGAGTCCTGAAGACCCTTAAAGGTAGAAATTGTCAGGATGGGCAGGGTAGGACAAAATGGTGGCTGTACAACCTGGAAAAGACAGCTGACGTCAAACCAGACAGCCAAAAGGGCGGGCTTTGCCAAAACGGATATCCGCATAACAACCTGAGCCCGAAGAAAACCACCAATGATATATTGCCGCTTTGTTCAAAGGCGACCAATCCCCAGCTCCGACAAAGAGCCAACCAAAATAAAACATCCCCCCCACCCGCGTATTCCCTGCTTGGGCGAGACTTCTCCAGCCCCACTCTGCAGGCCAGGGAACGTGGCCAGGGTGTGCAAACCCCAATAAAGCTCTACACTGCCTAACGTTGTGGCTGATTGGCATTTCTTCCTCGGCAGAGCCTAAGAAAACCTTTCAGAAATGAGACTAGGAAAAGCTGGGAAGGGACTCAACAGCCATCACCCTCTGCCAGCCTCTTTAGGAGGTTAGGGGTTACACTGAGTGACAGAGACCAAGAACTAACAACCCTCTAATCCTCACCATTCATTGATGCAAATAAAAAAGCAAGCAGCTAAGGAAGTAGGAACTGACACACACATACCCCAACTCTGGCACCAAAGACAATCTCTACCTGCTTACTGATGCTCACCATAGCTTGAACCAGAGGGGGAAAAAAAAGATTCTCATTTAGAAATTTGAAATAATGAGTTAAAGTGCAAATACTTGCAAGCCATTTTTGCACTTAGCATTTTAATACATCAGTGGGAAATAATTCAATGTAAAATGTAAGGAGTCAATCACTTAAAAAAAAAAGTGTCCTCAAATCCCTGTCAGTTCAAAGTGGGAACAAACAGCACGATGCTGACATGAAAAATAATAAAAGGAGGAGGGTGTGTGACTGAGCTGCGGAGCTCTCATCAGAGAGAATGAATGTGCTTCGAAGCCAGTCTTAAGGAGTTCTGTGGTCTTAATGAAATTATTTCTCTTTATAAATATAATAATAGTTACATCATAGGGCTGTGAAGACTACTGGGAAAAAGGAAACAAAAGGTGGGGATGGGATTTCAGTTCAAGGAGGAACCAGGATCTCAGAGGGGTATTAATGCAAGAAAGGGATCAAAGCTGTGAAGAGAGGGCATACCTGATAAATCAATGTCCCTGGGTTGAAAAGACTGAAACACAGAAAAGTTGAGTTCATTTTGGAAAGACTATAAGTCAAGAAACATGGCTAGAAATACAGATAAGCCGAAGGGTAGATGTATTATTTCTCTATTGCAGTATAACAAATTCCAACAAATTTAGTGGCTGAAAACAATATCCATTTATTATCTCACTGTGTCCATAGGTCATAATTCCAGGGTAGGTTTTCGGCTGAGGGTCTCCTAAGGCTAAAATCAAGGTGTCAGCTGATCTGGGCTCTTATCTGTAGGCTTTGGGGAAGAATCTACTTTCAAGTTCATCCATGTTGTTTGCAAAATTGAGTTCTGCAAACTTGGGTCGCTGTTTTCTTCCCAGCTTCAGGCCACAGGTTGTTCTAACTTCTGAAGGTCCCCGGCACTCCTGCACTCACGGACTCTGCTGTCTCTGCAGCCAGTGACGCCATGTGGACTCTTTCTCCATAGTTTTGAATCCTTCTGACCTCCCCGTCCCCCAACAGACGGAAAATTGTATCTGCTTTTAATGGCTCCTGTGATTGGATTAGGCACATCCAGATAATCTCCTTATCTTAAGATCAACTGTGCCATATAACATAACAAAATCATGGGAATGATACCATACTCACAGATTCTGAGCATGAGAATCACTCTATTTACCACACTACAGAAGACAGAAACTGCTGGAATCAAGTCTTGACTGTAAAGATATTGATGCCCTCCTGACTAAAAGGGCAGAAATGTAAATACAGTGATTAATTTTTAGAACAAATAACATAAGGCCCCTGGCCATGAGTTCAGAGACTTCCATGCAGCCCTGAAGATAAAAATCTTAAATTCAAGAGGAAGCTCTAGCAGGCAAAATGTCTGATTTAAAATACAATACTGTCGTGGCTTCCTAAAGTTAGTTTCAGCAGTGAGGATGTTTATTTTTCTCCCACGGCAGAAAAACTGGAGATGGGGAGGCTCAGGAGGAGCCAGTCAAAGCGCAGGCTCCGCCGCTCTGCAGTTCTGCAAGTCTTACCCTGCTCTCCCCATCACATGACAAAGGTGACAAAGGTCACAGACTATGCTGGTCGTTTGGAATTTCTTTGGCAACACAGATACTGAAAACTAAGTTAAGTTCTGTCCATTTGGTTTTGGTTCATTGTTTGGCTAGTAGCCACAGCCCAAGATTTTGTCTAGACATTGCCTCTAAGTCTGAAAATGTGGGTGTCTTCACCACCACCTCGGGCCCTAGCCGTTCCCAGGAGCCCTCGGTGGAACAGCCTTTATGCTGAGGGAACTCAAAACAATGGACTTGTGGCTTCTTTTGCCAGAAGTGCTTAAGTAGAAGTACTTGAAAACGGCCTGAGAAATCAGCTTTTTTTCCCTTCGTGTTTGTTATTGCTAAGTTTCCCACCTCCCTCTCTTGCTTAGCCTTCAGCATGGATAGATAATTTGACTTTTCCAACTTCTGAAAGACTCCAAATTATCATACTCAAAAATTTGGATTACGGAGTACAGATTTTCAGTTTCCCCACACCGAAAAAAACTCTCACTCTCTGCTTTTAGACAGATCGGCTTGAACCCATACTTGTCTTTCTCTTATAGGTCCTTTCTGAAAGCTATAATAAGTACAAAACATAGTCCAATACCCCAAAGTTTTCCTGCTGGTCACTTAATACCACGTCGAAGGCACAGCATCCATTCAGCCATCACAACAACATGCTTTGTGATGGCTGAATCACTAGGGCACAGCAAGGGTGCCAACTTTGCTGTTAGAAATGTCTGATCCTTCTGATTGCCACCCACTTCTCCATTTAGCGAATAGTATATTTAGGTTCTTGTATTAATGGCTCCTTACACCTAGAACTGATGTTTCGTCTCAGCTTGAATTTTTTCTACTGAGAGTAAGAGAACACTAGAAGTTGGCTTAAACCCCTGGGTAATTTGCTATCTCCCCAGGCAGAACTGCAACAGACACGGAGTGTCAAAACTCCAGGTTCTCCTCCCGGAGCTTCTCTCAGCGATGCCCTCCTGCGTCTGACGCTTCCTTCCCAGGACCACAGCAGGACAGCCTCAGCCACTCCAGGCCTTGCAGCCAAACACAGCAGCGTCCAGAGAAGCAAGAAAACTCTCTTCCTGGGTATCTTTTTTTGTAGTGACTAAGTGTTTACCTGAAGTTCCCCCAAAGACCTCATAGCTCATTCTTTATTGATCAGAACAGGGTTGTGTGCCTAGTCATTGGTCCCTATGAATTTCTGAATGGAATGAAATAGATTGGGATGGAGAGGGAACCAAAACCACTGCAGGAGCCAAGCGGCATTTCCACGCAAGTTTTGCTGGTACTATTCCTGGAGGAGCAAGAGTGGAAAAAGTGGAGAGTCGGGCTGAGTGTCGAGTGAAGGTCGGTAAAATGTGTGAGGTGAGAGGGAAAAACTGAAGATGCCAGTGAGCATATCATCGGAGTAGGTTTTCAAGAAGTCTGGTCTCTCAGGGGAAAAAAAAACTGATTGCAGGAAATGGCCGATCAACCAAAAGAATGTGAGGAGATTAAAATCAGATGGTAATGGTTAAAGAAGGGGAATAAAAGAAATGTGTCAGATCAGAGACTGAAATGTCAGAACTAAACACAGGGTCTGGCACGAATAACACCCCTGTTTTATTACAAAATCATAACCATGTAATTCTGTAACATAACAATATCACACTCAAGCACGCCATATGACATTTTAAGGAAAATGTTCAAATTTAACCTATGAATTATTACACCCATATCATCACCCGACCTACCACAGTCGGGCAGGCATTACTTCTGCCAGACCTTGTACTCGAGCATTAGAGAAATTACAAATGATAACAAATTTTAGTCGCAGAACTTGGCTGCTGAGTGGTCTGAAGGTAAAATAAGAAGTTAGTGAAGTACAAAGATAGTGAATTCAATGGCTTGCTGATTTGAAGTTGGAAGTCACCACAGATGGTGGCCAAAATTACACATAATAAAAGAAGTTGCAGGGAAGCCAGGTGCAAAAAGCCATGGGAAATGTAGAGGCATAATGGAAAACTAAGTAGCAGTCAGGAACAATGGGAAGAGAATGTTCTAACCTAGTAAACCCAGCTTCCAAAGAACAGCTGTACAGAAAAATTACGAAAGGATTGACAATGGCTGGTGAATGCCTGGTGACAAAGGCAGAAGAATGATACCACCTGAAACTATGGTGGACACAGGAATAGGAACCAGTTCCTCAAAGGCCTGACGACTAGGTATACACAGTTCTCATGAATTATCTAAAGAGTGGACAAGGGAATTTTAAAAAGAAAAATAAGTGATCTTTTTGCATGTGAGAGAACATGGAGACAGACTGCTGTATCATACTAATACAGAGTGGAACAAAAAGTAGGTTTACAGTTGTGAGTTTGCAAAAGTTTATTCTTGCATTATGTATCAAGTATTGTACTATTTTCCACAAGAACAACTGTAAACTTCTTTTGACCCACCTTGTATATCAGTGATCTAGTCGTTCTTAAGTTGCATTTCATAGGACTGCATACATATTTTAAAAGTATGCACATTATTAGCATTGATCCTTCTCATTTTTTAGCCATTAAAAAATCAAATTTTATAAAATAGTATTTACTACATAAGAGAAGGAACCCCCCCCCAAAACCAGAATTATCTTCTGGAGGGTGGGTACCTTGCAGTACATACAGGCTTTTTCCCCACTAGGTGAGTGTTCTAGGAACCCATCTACATCAATGTACCAGCTGGCACTGTTGTGAGAGGCTGAGTTCAGCTTCAATGAAAATTTTTTGAGGACTCTTTCCACACATTTGCCCATTTCATGATGGGTGATTTACAGGTGCACCTGCCCACACTGCACTGAGTATTTAGCAGTTTTTTACCACAAACAGCATGACTCCCAATTCACCTGATCTGGCCCTGAGCAACTTTTTTTCTGATTCTTTAGAAGAAAAAAAGTCCTCAAAGAGAAACACTTTGCCGATGTGAAAGACACAAAACAACAAAAGGCAGAAGCACTGAAAGGCATCGAAATCGACAAGTTCAAACTCTATTTCAAGCCCTAGAAAAAAACGTCTCGACGGGTGCATTGCAACAAATGGGGAGTATTTTGAAGATGACTAAAGTTTAAATATATAAGAATAAATATGCAATTTTTTAAAAATGAATTCTGTTTTTCGAGGGTTCCCCTCATATAGCTCTTTATTTTCTTCAGAATGAAGGCAATACACAGAAGGAAAAGATAACAATTTAAGACTCTTGAAGTCAAAAACTATCAAGCAAGAAGTTCGATACATGGCCAAGCCAAGTATTTCAATTCAGAAAATACACACACAGAACCTAAGAGGTATTCACATTATCTATGTTAAAAAGGAAATATGAATTTGGAAACATTCTAAAAAGTATACACTATGAATAGAATCAAAGCATTTTTCCCCTTTATCATTTTCAAAGCAATATAAAAAGCCAAGGACTTCAAACAGCATTTTAAAAGAAAAACAAAGGTTTCACCCTTATTTTTGGTAATATTCCATTGGATATATTGAGTAATATTCCATCGGATATATTGTATACCTGAAACTAATATAATACTGTGTGTCAACTAAAAATTTAAAATAAGTTTATTTCAAAAAATAAATATGAAAGCATCATTTATGAGATTGTTTGTATCTATAAAATATTAGGTCTTCCGATACACATTAAACATATCATTACAGAACTCCATGTAAATATCAGGGAATCATCTTTCAAGGAAAGTATACAATCTGACTTCTGTCTTTTTCTGCAACGATATGCCATTTGTTTGATACTCCATATCCTTCAGTAATTAGGTGGATTTCTAATATGATATATACCTGGTACTCTACCAAGATTTCAAAAATGTAAAAAGCTAAAGTAAATAATTCAAAGCAATTTTTATAAAAATAAAAACCTTAGGCCTTCTAATGCATTTTTAAACTGGAAAATCTTAAAGCAGAATATAAATTCTTCTGGAAAAATAAATGAAAGTAGACACAAAACTATTTTTAAAAATGTAAAACCATATAAAATGTCCTAATAAGTCTACTCATTAAACAATCAATTTATTCTTTAAACTATAATGTATCTTATTTGTAAACTAGTATTATTTTTATTTTAATATATATTTCCAAATATACCCTGGAGGCACTTTTGAAAATAATTAGTCCTAAAAGATCCAAAAAGGAGTAGGCTGTGTTACTACTACCTGCAAGGGGTTTTGGAGTTTTATTAAGAATTAAATACTTAATAGAGGTATTACTCAGTAAGATATATTTTTTAAAAATACACTTTTCTCCAAAATTATTTACAATGCATTTCCATATGACGGATTTACTGGACACCTGAATTTGCAATGAGATATCTGTTCGCCTTTCTTCCTTGATTAACCATTGCTCTAACTGACATGCTGCATTAATTTTAAGTCTTTTAAAGTGGAAATTACAATGCCTGCTGTGATAATTGTGATACTACCCTAACTATGGCAATCACTTTAAAACTACTTCTTTGCTTATCATTAGCATTGCTAAGTGATAAAAATAAGTATAGCAGGAATATTCTGGGAAATGATTGTTTAACAATTTTTAATATTCTGAAAAGCTCAATCTAGAAGACTCTCAGCACCATGAACTGGGACACCGTCTGCTGGCATGGACCCTTCTAAATTTCCTCCCACTGAGTGAAATCCCCAGATGGTTCCCTGCCAGTCACTCCCTCACCCACTCCTCCTTGGTGCTACTTCCCATACAGGCGAGCTCACCGAACCAGTTGCCAGGCCAGGCTGACAACAGAATAATCAAAGGAGAGAGCAAAGTCCTGAGATGAAAACAGTTCAGATTCGAGTCTGACAGCTTCCGAGCTGCTCTACCTCTGGGCGGTGGTCCCCCAGCATGAGCCAGATGGGTGAAATGGAAAAGCAGACACGCCACAGAGATGGCAAAGTGATCGCTTCCTCTGTCTTCCCTAAGTCCAAGAAACTGCATGTGAAAGGCAAGCAGCTCTTCCATGACAGCTCATTTGAAATAGGTCCTGTCACTCTTATGTGCTGACAATTGACTTTATAAATGTAACTGCCCTACACTTTGTTTTCTCTTGAAAGAAAGTCAACTTATACAAATCATTATTCTTCTGGAATGTTGAGTTCTTGACAAGTGACAAATGACAAAGCATAAATGATAAACCAAGACTTAACACGGACAAAAATCAATCATGACTTTCCTGCTTATTATCTTATAAACATCTGGGTTTAACTCAACCCAGAGATATAGCAGAGAATCAACATAAGAGCATAAAATCCATCTAAAGTAACTGATTATACAAGAGAAGAGATGACGTGAATGCATTCACAGATCAGTGAAATGCTTTCTGTTGCCATCAACAGGGCACAAAAGCAGAGTCTTAAAGACGCTTGTGATCTGATAACACTGCTCATTCAGTCACATTATCAATGTCACCTATTGCCAGAAAGTGGTCCAGTGGTAACTTCTGCAATTTTAAATGCTTCTTTCTAACAAATACTTAAGTTGAACTATACAAATAAGTCATATTCTAAAACAAAAGTCGCATGGTTGTTAAGAAAGATTTTATGATTTTCTTACACTTCAACATTAAGGAATAATTTCAGTTTAGGGGACTAAAAACTAAGCTGGGGTTACAGGTTAGATCTATGTTAAGGGCCAACTCTGAAAAGCCATCAAATGAAAAAGGCTTTAAAAAGATTTGTAAAAAGTCAATTACTCTTTACCCTGAAAGAGTCAAACATAACCACTCTTCTATCAAGAACATCTTGACAGCTGATCTGCACAGCGTGGCACACAAGTGTTTGTTCTTAGGACCGAAGAATGAATGGTTGGTCACAGCAAGCACCATTCCTTAGGAATTTGGCTTTTATACCTGATTGTTCTTGTCTGTGAGCTGATCAAGAGTTTCGGACTGTTTCTCCAACGCTCGCTCCAACTTCTTATGCTTAAGCTTCCACTGCCGAATGGACTCCTGAGCTTTCAGTTTCAGCTCTTCTCGCCTCTTCTCCGCCTCCTGTCTCAGGGCCTCCGACTGCTGGAAGTCCAGGAGGTACTGCTCGGCCTGCTTGGTTGCGTCCTCAGCGTGGTGAGTCAGCTCTGAGATCTGGAGGTCAGCATGCTTTCGCTTGGCATCACATGTTTCAAAGTGCTTCTGGATCTCCTGAAGTTGATCCAACATCTGCAGTTGCTGTTTTTCCTTGTTGTCCAATTCATGTGTTAAATTCTAAGAATAAAGCAGGTGAAATATTAGAAATGTATTCTTGTCAAAGTTGGATGCATACATAATATAGCAAAGAACAATCTCTAATGTCACTGAAATGAGAATCATCTATATTAAATGTCATTAGCATCCAATCTAGAAAATATGAGCCTTTTTCTGTATATTTTATAATCATATTAGCTGAGAATAATTTTTTATAAAAAAATTTTTTCTCCTACTACCTCATTCTCCAAAACAGGAAAATACGTATTTTCCAATTAGCCATCAACAAAACAGATAGAAGGCCTTGCTGATGAAAACAATGTGCATTACTTTAATAAGACAGTAATCTGTCCAACTAAAGACATGTCAGACAGATTGCCATAGCAATTTGTGTAATATTTCATGGCCTAAAATTTTGTTAAAATAAAAATCCATGACAAAAAAAATGAGCACTAAGGACAAAAACATCAGTATAAATAACGCTATATTTGAAAGTCCATTTTTTTAAAAAAGGCTCTCAATAGAGGATTTTCCAGGTAATTAACATAATGTTATATGTTGATAAACTTATCTCAAGCTTCCTGATTCACTACAGAATAGATTTTTAAATAAACAAATTTATTTTGAATACTTATCTAATCCAGAAAGTAACTTGAACTCTTAAAATCTAAAGCAGAGTTGGTCAATAATACGTTTGGAAATCATACTAAATCATCATGATTCATACATATTTTTAATTTGAGTAGATTGGGTACAAATCTACTTTTAATTTCAATAATGAGATGACATTGTTTTTAGATAGCATTCTATACAAATAAAATAATACTGTAGTCATTAACATCAAGCCACTTTTCTAAAGCCTTGGAAGGGAGTGACAAATTCAGAAATAAGCATTTCCGAGGTGGCCCAGGGCTGCCCTTCCTGCGCCTTAGTTTCCAAATACCTGGGGTGACAAAGTTAACATGACGAGGCCATGTGCCCAAATAAGATTGGGGTCAGCAGGCTACGATGCTGCTGCAAGCTACACCAACCATAAATAAATACCTCCTACACTGCACTAAGACACCTGCAACCGGAAACTGGAGGCGGTCACCAGCTCCCTCGGGCTCTAACAGCACATGTTCTGTTCCAAGCCCATTATTCCTGAACCATGGCTTAAATAAAGTCAAATACAATTTCTCTCTTGATTAATGTTATGGTTTGACATTATGACAAAAAATATAAAAATAATGCCTCGAAAAACAAGCTTCATTTTCTTAGCAGCAGGTTTGCATGTGCTCAGTTTGCTAAATTCCGTGCAGCCTGACAGAGATGAGTCGCTCCTTTCTCTGTGCAAGGAAAACAATAAACTGAGACCTATGCACTGGTTTATGTGGAAAACTCTAAAATGAGATCAGAAAACTCTTATTTAATGCCACTATGTTATAAATCAACTCTATCAACAAGCAGTAGCCAACAGAGGTACCCATTTTATTTTTTTCCAACACACACTTGGAGAGTGGTTACATTTCCTCTGTGTTAGGCACATAGTTTACAGACAGGTTAATAAGATCTGGCTTCAACACCAAAGAAGCTAATGATGTAAACAGGGAGATAGTCACACTAACAGCTAATCACAACGTGGACAGTGCTAGGTGCTAAGATATGACAAACAGTTAGCCAAAGGGGTCTATGTTCTGTAGTGTGACTGGGGATGGTTTGTCTTTGGAGGTGATATATGAGCTGCAATATAAATGAAAAGGAGCTAGTAATAATAATAATAATTACAACTATGACTGAAGTTTATTGGGCACCTGAGTTGTGCAAGGAATTGTGTAAATGCTTTATATGAATTATCTCTTTCAATCTCACGGCCAAACTACAGTAAGGCACAACAGCAGGGTCAAGAGCCACAGAGTGGCCCATTGGTGGATGTTTGTGAAGAGTCGTACTTTGAGAGGGCTAAAAAGACACTGGAAAGTCAGGTCAGAAATCAGGCTGGGGGATGCTGAAATCCAGTTTAAGCTTTCAGAGGTTTTCAGCACAGGAATAACATGATCGGATCCATGCTTGAGAAAGATTAATCACCAAACGACATTATGCTAACACTAGGATATTAAAATATTATGGCAACACTAAAAATAATTGAAAATCATCATTTTAAAGCAGGAATGAACTTTTAGAACCAATTCTTCTCTTATCTGAATTCATTTCCAGCAATCAAATTCAATGAAGCTGGCTTATAACAGATAAGAACCAACTGTGGTATTTAAGAGACGAGAAAAAAAAAGAAAGTCCTTGTCACTCTTTCTGAAAGAAATACAGGTATGCTTCCATTCAGTCCCGTAAACATTTACTGCACCGAGGAACCTCCAGCTGCTGAGACACAGTTCCACACTCTACTGCTCTGGAGAACCATACAGCCTAGTTAGGGAGACAGACACACTGTAATTATTTTCAATAAACATGATATATATGAGCAATTCTTTCTTTTCTATCTCAAATTTTCCCTCTCTTCCCAATTTTAAGGCCTAATCTATACTTTCATTTCTTTTCTCAGTGTTTTTATCTGATGATATAATTTTTCTAACACTGATTCTTTGTCCAAAAAAAAAAAAGACCCCCAAGTTAACACCATTAAGCGGTGGCTAAGGAGAAAAATGAAGATATTGATAATTCAACAGTTGCTACTGAGAATAATAGAGAAAGAGAGAAATGGAGGGACAGGGAAGAGGGAGACGATGCCTAGGCCAGCCAATCCCAGACCTTGAACAACAACCCACACCACCAAGGCAAGAGTACAGCTGGCACCCTTCCCTCCGATGCCCTTCAGTGCCTTCTTCCTTGATTAAAGTGCCCTTAACATTGGTGTTGGGAGGAAAAGGGGGTTAAGAATAGGGAAGAAAAAAAATTAATGAGAGAATCTCCTGTTAATAAACAAGATTCCTCTCCCAAACAGTCACAAATCAAGCATTTTGTACTGTTGGTGGGAATGCAGACTGGTCCAGCCACTGTGGAAAGCAGTATGGAGAGACCTTAAAGAATTAAAAATGGACCTGCCTTTTGACCCAGTGATCCCACTTCTGGGAATACATCCAAAGGAATACAAAACATTAATTCAGAAGAAGGTAAGGACCCCCATGTTCACTGCACCATTATTTACAATTGGGAAGATATGGAAGCAGCCCAAGTGTCCATCAGTGGATGAGTGAATAAAACCACTATTGGGCATCTACACAGTGGAATACTACTCAGTCGTTAAAAAAAAATGTTTTACCCTTTGTGACGGCATGGACGGATCTGGAGAAGATCATACTAAGTGAAATAAGCCAGTCAGAGAAAGACAAATACCATATAATTTCACTCATATGTGGAACCTAATGAACAAAATGGACAAACAAGCAAAATAGATACAGACCCAGATGGACAGCAGACCACAGCTCTTGGCAGGGTCAGGTGTAGCGGGTGGAGGGATCAAGCAAAAAGAAAAAAGGACTCATGAGCATAGACAATAGTGCGGTGATTACAGAGGGGAGAGGGGTCCAAGGGCTTAAATGGTATTTTCTTAAAAAAAAATTTTTTTTAATCCCAAATTAGGGTCACACCAAATGGAACTACAATCACTTGTAAAGCTTCTATTTACTAAAGAAAAATTAATGAAGAAGCTACTTATTCAATATTCCCAAACAATTTAATAATATCTGAGAAAGCCCTCCTTCGAAATTCTAGGGGCAAAATTAACTGCAGATTTTTATTTTTAATGTTTAAAATAGCTAGCCTGTAATTTTTAAGAAACGTTGAATGTATCATACAATAGCTGTAGATCCACATGCATGAACACATATGCACAGTTTTTAGTAAACTACAGTAAACAGTAAACTCTGTACACTGAAAATTTCTGTGGGTGTTTGTAGCATACTTATTTTACTGAAAATGAAGAATTTTAATTATAGAGATTGAGTTTTTATATCTTGGCATGCATGGATGAAGAGTTTATTTTAAGCATAGGTGTGGGTGAAAACTCCTCGGTTAGAAACACAATTCTTAATTACAACATTTCTCATATAAAAACACACAAAACCCACATAAACTACAACGGAATTATACAGACATGAGCAAAGCAAGGACCATGGGCCAGGCATAGGTCACCAGGGCAGAAAGCCCTGGGTGCTGAGTGATAGGCTAAACTGAGAAAACAGAGACCTAGCCCCAGAGGTAACCTTTCCTCCCCTAGCGTATCACTGGCCCTGTGGTTTAGACACCGACATTCCACATCGCTGGGCATGTGGTTCGGACCTTCTTCTGACCTTTCTGACCCTGGCATGTAGCCAGTCATGCAGTAGACCCCATTGGAGGAGGAACAAGGGACCAAAGAGTGGCCTCATGCGACTCCCATGTGGGCCCCTCCCCCCCCACTGCATGACCACTCCCTTGAGTATTAACCCCTAGGGCACAGGTGGCAAACACAAGGCCTGCAGGCCAAATCTGGCCCTCCACCTTGTTTTACCCGGCCAGCACCTTGTTTCTGCCCGGTGGCACCTCCTTGCCCCTGGTTAAGGAATAGTTACATGCACACAGCCCTAAAATTACATTTGGCCCTTTGAAGGTAACCTCTGCCTGATGTGGCCCCGGTGAAAATGAGTTTGACACCCCTGCGAGGGGCACCATCTTGGCCTCAGGTTTGTTTCGGCTCCAGGCCCAGAAAAGCTGAAAACCAGACAAGCGATGCCATGTCTGCCTCAGGCCCAGCTGCACTGACCGATGACCCCCTGTTCTGGCCCTGACCAATCATGGGAAACTACGACCCTGAAATAACACACCTGGAAAACTGATGAAAATTCTATTGAGATTCGCCCCTGGCACTACTCCAAAAATCCCCAGCCTTTAAAGCCCTTAGGACGGAGGACCCAGATGGCCCTGTCAGGAGCACACCCAGCCTTCCCAGTCCTGCCCCGGCCTCTTCCCCTCCTAGGCACTTTCCCTTTCCCTTTCCCTCTCCTGAGCTCCAAGGGCCCTTCTGTTGCCTCTGTAACTTGTTCCCT